GGGAGCCCCTCTCTCCCGCTGCGCGCCGAGCGGAGGGGGAGGGGCACCCCCTTTGTCACCCTACGAGCGCGGCTCTGTGACATCACTCCTTCCACCCCTTCGGGGTTCTTGTTGTGTTGTTGTTGTTTGTCGGGCAGGAAGGCGGGCTTGACTTTCTCTTTTAGCGAGCGGGAGCAGAAGCCCTTCCTTCGCGCCGGGGCTGCGGTTTCCATCTTGAGCTGGTCTCCTACGAAACTTCCCCAAGGGCCCGCACTACTTCGCTTTTCCCGACCCCTCTCCCGCACCCGCTCTCCCCTGCAAACCCCGCAGGGCGAGGAGGTGGGAAATTCTGGACGCACACAACCCTGAAGCCTGGGGCTTTGCGTATTTTTCAGCGGGACAGGGGCGGGGGGGACTTTTTCTCCGGAGGACTCGGCGGGGCGGGGGCGAACGCAGCACAACTTACTGCACCGCACGCGTCTACACTCGCGCTGGCTTCGCAGGGGCGCTCTCCCAGTATCGGCGGGAAGGAGGAGGCGTCTCGAAAAAGACCACCGCCCGGGCCGATTGTTTGTTTTAACAGGTCTAGGCGTGGCGTTTCTTCCACGCTTCCATTCTTTAAACTTTTGGGTAAAGAAAACCCTGAATGCATGAACACTCCTTCCTCCCTCCCCCCTAAAAACTTACGGTGCAACGCACGACTTTCCACACGCGCTCTGAATTATGGGCCATGCCGCAACCTTCCTCCACCTCCCCCCATACACCCCCAGAAGCTAGAACAATGAAAAAAAAAAGTTACTTTGGTAAGAATGAAGGTACAGAGGTGGGGGAGGCGACACTTTTAACTTATTGTTGCTCCCCTCCCGCCCCCACGGGAACGGAACATATGGCTTGTCAACTGCGCTGTTCTGGCGGGAGGTGGGGGTGTGCGCGTGCATGGGACCACGAAACCGAAAGGCCCGCGAGGAAGTCCTCTCTTAAAAACGATAACGTGTAGATTTATTTACTGTTAGGTTCGGCAGCCTTCCACCCACCCAAATAAAAAGTTGTTACGTGTCCCCCGCCGCGGCCGGCGCCGTCGCCGGGTGCAGAAGTGCAGACCCAGGCGGAAATCGCGGCGCTGCGATTCTTTCCTATTTCCACGCGGGCCCGGCCGCCTCCGTGGCCCTTGCACGCTTCTTCCCAGCACTCGAGGCCGCCGGATCTGTGATGAAACCCGGTGTGCGCCGAGTGGCTAAGAGCGAGTTCCATTGCGATGTAATTAGGTCACCCCATTACGAGCACGTTTCTTTGGAAAGGACGGGGCGGGCGGAGCAGAGCGCTGGGATGTACTCCAGCCGCCCCCCCACGCCCCCCGCAACACACACTTTTCACTCCATTTTATTTATCCAATCTCCGGGCAAACCCAGGAAACCTTCCAAATCACAACTGGTTTAGGAACGTGTTGTTTTTCAACTTTACGAAACACAATTTCTACTGCTTTTATTTGTCTCCCCTGACTTAAAATTGATGGCCCCATTTTTAACCCGGCTGCTGCCCCTTGCTTTTTCTTCCGTTGCTGTCCAGCCGCCTGTTGTTTCCCTCCCCGTTCCCATTTTTCAGCTTTTCTCGAAATCTGGCAAGCGCCAGAAAGGGAAATAACTTCCATCCACTTTAATTTAAATCACTCAAGTGTAGGTTTCTTTCTTAAAGGGATGTTTGCTCGTTCCTTTCCCCAGTGGGGGGGGGGGGCGATTCCGTGCAGTTTCTTGGTGATGAGGTAATGAGTTCCAGATCTCAGGACCGAGTAGGGTGCGCGTTAAACCCACAAGGTCAGTCTGAGCCCTGATGTGAAGCTATTTCGGTTTTTTAGCCCGCCCCCTTCCATCCCAAAAGGGGTCGCTGGTCTTTAACTGCGGAGGGTTAGCGCAGCTCAGCTGGGGGGACCAGGGAGCGGGTGAGGAGGGTAGGGGACCCCGAGCGAGCGGGTCGCCTTCCCGGGTCCAGGCCCTGTCCCGGCGGGGCACCGGCTGGCCCCTGCCCCGGCGGCGCCGCCCGCCCCC